GTGCGTGTGTGCGTGTGTGCGTGTGTGCGTGTGTGTGTGGGCGTGCGTGTGTGCGTGTGTGCGTGTGTGCGTGTGTGCGTGTGTGCGTGTGTGTGGGGGGGGGGGGTGCGCCTGTCTGCGTGTGTGGGTTTTCGGCAGGGGAGGAGCGAGGTGCAGCAAGGGAAGAGAGGCGAGGAGAGGGAAGAGCGGGTGCTTGTGATGGATGCATCCAAGGCTTCCCCCGGGCGGCGGTGGCCCGGAGCCCCAAAGGGCATTTGCCATCAGGCATGGGCCTTCGCGCAGCGTGTGTCCAGGGTGGCCGGAGGTGCGGCATGGGCTGCCAACGCTTGGGCCAAACTGTCAGCCCTGCCACACCGGCCCAGGCCCCCCGGAGGGCATGTGTGCATCGGGGGGGGGGGGGGGGGGGGGACGGCGGCGGCGGCGGGAAAAGGGCCGAGCAAGAGGCCGGGGATGCCATGTGGCGGGTCCCGACTGGGCATTCTCACCCGGCAGACCCCCCTGGGGGGGGGGGATGGGCGGCGCCAAGCATCACGCACAGGAGACCCACCGCTCTGGAGAACCAGGTCCTGCGAGCGCGGCGCGAGAATCGAGCAGAGAGGGCGTTTAAGTCCGCACTTGCCCGCCACCTGGACACAAATGCTTGAACCGGGGTGTCCTGCCCCCCTCCCCCACCGAGGAGGATATCGGCGCGGGGGCGGGGGCGGGCATGGGCATGGGTGCCTATGTGTGGGGGAAAAAGCCGTCACACTCGCTCTTTTCCCCCTTGCCTAGCTCGCCCTCTTCTCCCGGTGTGGTCGCTTTGGCCCTTGTGTGCCCGCCCCTCCCGCCAGTGCACAGTCTGGAGGGGGCTTTTTGTGGTGCATTGTTGCGTCCCAACTCACGGGCAAACATCCCCAATCCCTTGCCGACGTCAGTTTCGCCCTACCTGCATCTTCGCACACGCCTCACCCCCTTTCGCAAGGACACCCCACCACCATGGCCGACGAGGAGGAGACTTTCAAGTATGATGTCGGGCCTGCATACCGGCCTCTCCTTCTCTCCCCTTTGTTGCTTTTCATCCGTTGATTGGGCCTCTAACACCACCCTCCTGCCTGTCTCCCGCTCCATTTGCTCAGCTTCGAGCTCAGCGAGGCCGGTGCCTCGATTGCCGAGAACAGCCCTGTCCGTCCTGCTCCCCCCCCCCCTTTCTCTCTTTCTCTCTTTCTCTCTTTCTCTCT